ATAACAGCTTACCCCAGCACCTTTTTCTTAAAGACCTAATTTAAGGGGCTCTAGTGTTGCTCCCAGCTCAGTCACCATGTTAATATGGCTGATGGTAGACAACTAAAAGAACATGCGAGTGGCATGATGACAATACAGAGTTTCACATAAATTCATCATTTGGTTCACACATTATCGTGAGGATAGCACACATGGATGATAAACACGGTAGTCCCATAATCTTGTCTGTTTCCAATGAAAACTGCTTCCTCCTTGGAATATTTTTCTTAAAATGGCAATTACTGTCGAAACTTTTTCTGCTCCAAAGAATGTACTACCATTTGACATAGTGTGACCTATCTTAAAAACAGATATGCTATTATCTGTGCTGACCTGAAAGCATCCTTTGCAATCATCTATGTAGTCGAGTTTAACATTCGGTTTGTAGCCCTCCTTTTCTTTGAAGTCTGATGTCGGACCACTGTAGTGCTTGCAATGCCCAAACTTTTCATCATTTCTGAAAAAGTTAAAGCAATGTCATATATTAAATTCTTTAATTAGTATTCCTTGCTTACTTTGTCCTGTCTTGACCATCACGTACACCTCCCTAATACTCAAGGGGTCAGTCCCGAGAGACAAGACAAGACTTGCAATCCAGTTATAGAGGAGATTACAAAGTGTTCAAAGCTCAGATATCCTTTACCCTTCAAAATCTCCTACTCTACTCCATAATCAAAGCAAGTGGCTGATCCTTGTGCCCATGACAACTCCTTTCCCTAAATCCTGCTGCAGAGAAGACTTGACAGCTACAGGAAAACTTAGGTGACTTAGTCTGCAGCCACCTGCTCACACTAGTTTCTCCCTTGTGGATTTTTATACCCTGAAGATAGAGGCGATACATTCCTCCAATACATCTGTTTACACAATATCTATACAGTGCCACATCCCAGAAGACGACATTGTTCATGAGTGACATTCATTACATAACAAGACACTATACAGTTAAAAAAAAAAAAAAAGTAAAGTTATCCCTGTAACAGACTGTGGAGTTCCAAACGGTTGTGAGACATCGAGGCTCCCATATTTTCTAAACAATCGGCTCACAGATGGTGGTGAGGTTGTCAGTCTTATGTCAGTCTGTTACCCTGTAACAGACCATGGAAGCCCATAGGGTTGTAAGACATTAAGGCTCCCANCTAGGTCAATTGAAAAAAATTAATGGCCTTGTTGGGACTTGAACCCTGGACCTTCTAACTTGTAGCATAGTGCCTCAACCAACTATCCTACCACTACTAATATTAAACATAAACGATTAATGTGTTTCTACTAAAACCCCTAACAAAACTGCAGTATATGATTAAATATGGTACACCATTTATGAAATACTTAAAATATAAACGCACAATTAAAATCAATACTAAAGTGTCAATATCTCTTAATTTGAATAGGCCTATGTTGTACATAAAGAATCTGATAATGACTCACCAATCAAAACTTCATTCCAAGCTCCACGTTTGCCTTCTTCTTCCTGACGTTTCTTCTCTTCAATCATTTCCCTCTCAGAGTCCTGTAATGTAAATTTTGTACGAGATTAGCAGAACGCAAATGCGCAGTCCAAAAATTACCAATTCAAAATTACCTTGAGATAGACTGATATCTGAACTGCTTACCCACGAGCCACTGTATATACTCGTAAAATTACTTCACTGTAAAGCACTAACTACACTGTGTAGGATTTGAGCTTCTGAGAGCAATGGTTTTTGAAGAGTTCTGTCATTTAGGATATAATGCCGTGTAGTCTGTCGAAAGTCAACAGACATTTTGCAGAAATATGTCGCCTCCATCTTCAGTGTTGAAGAATAAATCAAGCAAGAAACCAGCGCTGGTACATAACAAAGGCAAGCTTCCTACCTGCTTCATGCTGGCTTCTTGTTTCATTTATTCTTTGACCCTGAAGATTCAGGTGACATGTTCCCCTGGAAATTCAGATGATAGCCCAGAAGACAGAATTCTTCTGACTATACTGATCATCTTGAAACTTTTTGCCAAAATAACTTTTTAATATGCTTTAATATGCTTTAAAGTTACAGATCTATTAGAAGCATACTCTCATTCTGCCAAGCAATTTACAGCTGCTAAACTAATTCTGAGTTTGCAGTGAGAAAAAGCAGAGAGGAGGTAAGGTGAAGATAGCCTTGACTGAACAAGAGAAATGACCCCTACTACAGCCAGACATTTGTGAGGATTAAAAAGGAATTCTGCTGGTGTGGTGTACCTTTTCTACACTCTGCTTTGATTCTGTAACAGTCTCCATGCTTTCTTGAGGACTATCTGCAGCTCCAGTTCGCAGTCATCGGGCTCAATCTTGATGTTGGACAGTATCTCTTCTGTCTCTGAAAGTTATGTCCGCTTTATGACACAAACTCCGTCCTAAGTGCAACAATTTATTGTAGTTGTTTTGTCTTCTTTTCTTATACACCACATGTTTCGGCCATAAATGGCCATCATCAGGTGTATTTCTCTCACGTAGCTGTTACACTGCACGCAGTTTAAAATTTAATAACACCAGCTTTCTTAATTGTTCATTTCTCCGTTGTTAATAGGTCCCGATATATCAGAATCCCCTTGCTGATATTTGTCCGATATGTATAAAATCTTTGTATTTTTACATACGTCAATTTGCTTTTGGAATTTTGGTATTTTTTTTTTAAATCTTCAATTTTTATTTATTATTTTTTCATTTAAAATTTAAAATTAAACATATTAAAAATGAGCAGCAGCACGCACACAGGGGAGCCTGCACAGAATAATACCTGAACGGTGCTGAAAGCAAGAAGTAGCCACTGCAGCACTGTAGACCTAGAGCGGGGATCCCTGTGAATTTAAAATTTTAAATAAAAAAAATTTAAAATTTGTTAATTTACATACATCAATTTGATTTTTGGAATTTGGTATTTTTAAAATCTTCAATTTAAATTTAAAATTTTTAAAATCTAAAATTCACAGGGATCCCTGCTCTAGGTCTACAGTGCTGCAGCGGCTACTTCTTGCTTTCAGCACCATTCCGGTATTATTCTGCGCAGGCTCCCCTGTGTGCATGCCACTGCTCATTTTTAATATGTTTAATTTTAAATTTTAAATTTAAAAAAAATAAATTTAAATTGAAGATTTAAAAAAAAAATACCAAAATTAAAAAATCAAATTGACGTATGTAAAAATACAAAGATTTTATACATATCTGACAAATATCAGCAAGGAGATTCTGATATATCGGGACCTATTAACAAAGGAGAAATGAACAATTAAGAAAGCTGGTGTTATTAAATTTTAAACTACGTGCAGTGTAACAGCTACGTGAGAGAAATACACCTGATGATGGTCATTTACGGCCGAAACATGTAGTGTAGAAGAAAAGAATAAAGAAAAACTACAATAAACTACCGCAGTTAGGATGGAGTTTGTGTCATACATTGTACAGGGTGTAACAGGTTGCTTAAATATGTCCGATTATTAATAACATTCAAAACTGCTCCTGCACATCTCCTTTCATGATTTCACAACACTTCATAGCAGAAACTATACGAATATAGTATCAAATGGCTGATGATTAGTAAATAATGTATTCAAAAGTCTTGATGCTTGTCACCTAATTAGGGATACTAAGTCGAATCAACATTTGCCTGGTGGTACTGTGAAAAACCATGAAGAAACCTAAGTCACGTTAGCAAGATGTTCCAGAGGAGATTCATGAACGCAAGAACCCAGTTCCATTTTTTTTTCTGGAGTTCGAACTGTGGAAGTAACATAAGTCTATATTCACGGTACGATTGGGCGTGTCATCTCTTCTTGTAGCAGTTCAATAATTTTTGTGCTGATCGACGTTCTGGTTTAAATTTATGATAACAAGCACTCGTTGTCTCACTTCTTTCACTATTATCAGTGATGAAAACTTGAGTGTCACCATCATTCGCTACTTAACGGCCATTTTGGATATCAATTAGAGTCTCGCTCGATGGATCGATGGTGATCAATCTCTCGGGAATTTCTTATAGCTCCTAATAATTTTGTAGAAACACCAAAATTATTCAACTTATAAAATAATTTACACTCAACATCACACAGCTCTCGTATGCTAAGTGCCATTAAACTACAAGAACAAAAACAGAATTAATTTTGAACTCTGATCAAAGTTAATGCAGTATTTGTACATTTTAAACCTCTAGCTTACTTTCCTCGCACGAATCATGCGTTGTTATCTACACAACTGCCATCTAGCAGAGATATAGCGTAGTCTACAAGTCAACTAGCGCTTCTTGTGGTCGGAAAGTAGAAGTATATCGGAAGCAATCTAACGTGATCACAGTCGATCTCGGTCGATCACAGTAGGAATGGAAGCACGGAAGGAAATTAGGTGAGGAATTAACGGAGAATCCCAGTAACGATTACATTTTGAGGGAGGGGGATATTTTACGTGACTTTTGAATTTTGAAGCCGCATGCACCCATTTAAGGGTAGTTCATTGTCATTTCTGATTGAGGTAGGTTACTAGAAATGTAGTTTTGTAAAGTGTCCTTCGTTCAGGCAGTGGTTAAATTATTTGTGACAGTCTCCAATATTAGTGCATATTATAATCATAGCGGTATGTGAACAGAGACGTGACTTAAATTTTATTTCGTTGGAATTTAGCACAGCTTGTATTTGACGTGATATAATTGGTGGCAGCCTGCTTTATATTTGGGAGGTCCAGTTGAATGTTCTACCAGACGACTGGCTATACTAACATTTCGTAGTTTTCCCCAGTCTTTATATAGACTTTATATAGAGCCCCATCTGGGAATTTTGATCAATTCTTAGATAGATTAGAAACCATCCTAAATGTACTGCATAGTTCAAAAGTTGAATTTATAATTTGTGGTGATATAAATATAAACTATCTCATCGACAGTAATAGGAAACTAAATTTAGACTGTTTGTTATCATCTTACAATCTCTCCAGTACTGTTAACTTTCCCACAAGAGTTCAAAATAATTCTAGTTCAGCGATAGATAATATATTCATTGATAACTCAAAATTAAGAGACTATACTGTAGGACCCTTTATAAATGGCTTATCCGATCATGATGCTCAACTCATAGAAATAAATAATATTGACCTTCAGCCCAGTAATCAACAATATCAAACAGTAAGGAAAATCAACAAGCATACGATGGCAGATTTTGTCACAAAATTAAGTAATGAATCATGGGACAATGTATTTGACAGCAATAATATTGATTCTAAATTTAATTGCTTTCTGAACACATACTTGAGGATCTTTTATTCAAGCTTTCCCTTAAAAATAGTCAAAAATGAAAATAAAAACAAATCCACCTGGATAACAATTGGAATAAAAACTTCATGTAAACACAAAAGACAACTATATTTGGCCAGTAGGGACAGTAATGATCCAAGACTAAAAAGTCACTACAAAATGTACTGTAAAATTTTGTCAAAAGTCATTAAAGAAGCCAAACAGAATAACTATAACAGCCAAATTCTAAAATCAAACAATAAAATTAAAACCACCTGGGATATTGTGAAAGTTGAATCAGGAAAGAAATCTGTTAATGAAGACGTACAAAGTTTGAATATTGAAGGGAAGTCCACTAACAATCCACAAGCTATCGCAAGTGCATTTAATGAATATTTCCTTTCATTAGCTGAGAAAACATATTCCAATAACAACAATACTAATAATAATAATAATAATAATAATAATAATAATAATAATAATAATAATCCAATATACTATCTGTCTCGTGCCTTTAACAATTCATTTCCAAATATCAATCTCAAATTCTCAACAAGGAAGGAAATTGAAAACATTATTAAATCCCTTAAGCCCAAAAATTCACATGGATATGATGAAATCTCTACCAAATTACTTAAAGCAAGCTCTGTTTACATCAGTTCACCCTTGAATCATCTATGTAATAAATCTTTATCATCAGGTACTTTTCCTCAACGCTTAAAATACGCTGTAATGAAACCACTTTTTAAAAAAGGAGAGAGAAAATGCATCTCTAATTACAGACCAATATCCATATTGACTTCATTCTCAAAAGTCTTTGAAAAAGTTATGTATAATAGACTACTTGAACACTTAAATTCTAACAACATATTAGTCAAAGAGCAATTTGGATTTAGGAAAGACCTAACAACAGAAAAAGCAACCTATGAACTAACTAACGATATTTTAAGTGCTCTCAATGACAGATTAATTGTGGGAGGGATTTTCTGTGATCTAGCAAAAGCTTTCGATTGTGTTAATCATGATATCTTACTATCGAAATTAAATTTCTATGGAATAACTGGCAAAGCTAATGAATGGATCAAATCATACCTCAAAAACAGGTATCAAAGAGTTGAAATAAATAATAAAAACTCCAGTCATAATGCATTTTCAAACTGGGGAATTATAAAGCACGGTGTTCCACAAGGATCAATTTTAGGTCCCTTACTTTTTCTTCTCTACATAAATGATCTATCTAAAACCATCAACAATAAATCTAAACCAATTCTATATGCAGATGACACTAGTATAATATTTAAGAACTCTAAATTTGAAAACTTTAAAAATGACATAAATATTGTATTTGAAGCCTTAAACAGATGGTTCGAAGCCAATTTACTCTCATTAAATTTTGATAAAACCCATTACATATCATTCACAACTAAAAACAACCACCAAATTGATCTGGACATCAGTTATGCCAACAAATTAATCTGTAAAGTACTTGATACAAAATTCCTTGGAATACATGTAGACAGTACACTGTCTTGGAAAATACATATTGAACAAATTATACCTAAATTAAATGCAGCTTGCTATGCGATGAGATCAATTAAGCCTTTTATGTCACAGGAAACATTGAAGATGGTTTACCATGCCTACTTTCATTCTATTATGAACTATGGATTAATATTTTGGGGGAACTCTTCACATAGTGTAATAATTTTTAAAATACAAAAGAATATAATTAGAATCATTACAGGATGTAGAAGTAGAGATTCATGTAGAGAATTATTTAAGAAATTAAAAATTCTACCTCTTCAATCGCAATACATATTATCACTTCTCTTATTTGTTGTTTACAACAAAGATAAATTCAAATTAAATTCTGATGTCTATAACATGAATACTAGACAAAAATATAACTTCCACCTACCCTCATCAACTTTATCAGTATATCAAAAAGGAGTCTACTTTACTGGCATAAAAGTGTTCAACAATCTGCCACAAAGTATTAAAAACTTGGGCAATGATACTAAAAAGTTTAAATCAGAGTTAAAGAATTATCTACATGCTCATTCCTTCTACTCTTTAGATGAATACTTCAATGTAAATAGAGAATGATGTAAAATTAAGTTATATTAATTTTTAAGCTAAAATTGCCTGTACTTATGTATGTAACCTTTTGACTTGTTCTGTATCCAAAGGTACTAACCTACTTAGGATTTATAGAATGTAAATAAATTCAATTCAATTCAAAGTCCCTCATGCTGGGATAGTATCATGATTTATTATTCACTAACAATCATTCCATGTAGTGCTATAGTGCTATATAATTTGAACTACTGACTTGTGGACTAAAACCACAGAAAAAAAATACAGTATTCTTTTACAGCGTTTCATCTGTTATCAAGAAGCTGAAAATTTTTAATGTTTGTAACATGTTTTCAGTTTTTCTGGAAAATGGCTGTAATAAAAGTAACATAGCCCAGAGATCTATTACCATTACAAATTTAAAGATTGTAAATTGAATGCTGTTATTTTTATTTCCACCTAAAGCATTTATATGACTGCCATGCTTGTATTTTTAAAATCAGATAGTGCATATAATATTTGTCTCCATAGTTGAATATTATAGTGGACCAAATATTGTCAATTGAATGCATCCAGTCCAACATGCAGCAGTAGCTGAAATGGACTATCACCACTTCTTCCCACGTTATTTTCAATTCTACTCTTGCAGTCATCGAGCTTTACATTTCATATTACTAGGTAAGGGCTGTAGTTGACAAACTGCCATCCTAATACATTGTCATCTCTGAAACTAAAGCCATGAGTTCTTATTGTAGTTGTATTGTATTGTATTGCAGATAATGGCCATGTAGAAGAAAACCACAAGAACATTGGTGCATTTTCCAGTGGCAGGTATTTCAGAACTACAGCAACCCATAGACATTATAATGAATATTTGTCTGTGTTCTTCTGACAGGGCCAAGACCCTTCAATTGGAGAAGATGAAACTTAGAATAATTCATGAAGTTGAAGCTACAGAACAAGAAGACAAGTGTTTATCCGAATATAAACAGGAGATGGATTTGTTAATGCAAGAGAAGATGGCCCATGTTGAAGAACTGAGGCAAATCCATGCAGATATAAATGCTGTGAGTAGTCGTGTGTTATGCATAATTAAATGGTGAAATCTTAATGACTTAAATTTGATTTGTTTCATACTGGTCCGTCACACTAACAATTACAGATACAAATCACTCCGTCCAATGTGACATATAAGTTTTACTGCATGAAAGCCTATCAACCCTTACATGTTTCGGTCCTTATGGACCATCTTCGGAGGGAACATCATTACAAGCTGGAAACTACTATCACAATAGGTGTTTTGATTTAATTAAATACACATATCCTATAATGCACAGTATGCATAAAGTCGAACATTTCACAATCACAGCAGCTTCCTGGTATTGTAAAATCTTTTTAAAAACTTTACAATACCAGGAAGCTGCTGTGATTGTGAAACTTTCAACTTTATGCATACTCTGCAATATAGGACGTGTATGTAATTAAATCAAAACACCTATTGTGATAGTAGTTTCCAGCTTGTAATGATGTTCCCTCCGAAGATGGTCCATAAGGATGGAAACATGTAAGGGTTGATAGGTTTTTATGTAGTAAAACTTATATGTCACATTGGACAGAGTGATTTGTATTTGTCTTAATGACTTAGCTTCATATACAAAGTATCTGTTTGTGATTATGTTTTGGCCACTGATTCTATTGTAAACATATATAAAATAGTCTGGTTTTTCAATGACCAGTTCCATTTCACGGCACAAATTCTATATTTCAAGGTGTGATTCATGAAGTCAAAGTATTTAATGTCAATGAGATATTGTTATTTCCTGTGAATACTAGGCCAATTGCAATTTGAGTTGTCATAAGGGCGGCCGCACACTAACTGCATCAAGACAGGCATCAAGACATGAGACAGAAGATGTAGTCTTGCTTCATTCGTGATTCATCAGCATGAAGCTGACATCAGCATCATGATTCAGACCGGTGTGCGATGGTTTTCATAATTTCATTCGTTTCAACTGACCTCCTATCTTTGTGTCATGTCGCAGGCATTGTGTCTTAACTGTTACATGTCTTGACATATGACGGTGTGCGGCCTACCTAAGAATGACTTTAATGTTGCCCCCACCCCAGAAGCTCACTTGGCCAGTTTTCCACTAAGATAGTATGTCGTTTAGGTCACAACTTCTTCCTTTCAGATCCTTTCCAATTCATCACTCATCCATCATCCATCCATTCAATTGCATTTTAGCATCCTGTTGTGTTGATATATTTACTTCCATCTTTAACGCGGCTCTGTTCACAGTCTCTCCTTAATTTTAAAATAGCACTAAAATTACAATCAACTGCTAAATATTTTGGCCTTACTTGGCAGCTGTTCACTTGTTGAAACTGGTGCACTGCTTCACTTTCCACTTTAAAACATTCCAGTGTCATTACATTTTCATCGTTCACATTAATACACATTTGTTTGGGTACATAACTCTTTAGCCTTTCCAATGCCACCCACCCCTTGTGGCGTCCATGTTTTTTGTGTTTGTTTAGCCCTGTGAATATTGGCATGGTGTTAACATTTTTATGTCCACATATAGCAGATGATTGTGATTTTAATGTTAATTTTAATTATTGAGATAGTGTAAACAGAGTTCCATTAAAGACAGAAGTGAACATGAAAAGTGATCCAACCATTCGATGCTACTGAAAGTTTCTTATAGCTGCCTACTTCTAAAATAGCAAATTGTTCCAACAGACTCTGTATATGTTGGAGCACATTTGATGATTGTACTGTTCTTTACAGATGGGGAATGTCATAAAGCAGGCAGAAGAATCTCGTAACAGAGCACTCAATACAGCCAAACGTATACATGAAGAGTACAGGCCACTCAAATTGGACATTGATGATATGAGGTGTGAGTTCAAAACCTGCCTCCATCTGCATTTAGTGTCATAATCTCGATGACAGATGTCACGAAAGGCCAATTGCCAAACCACGTGATCATATCGACCAATCGAAATTGCTGTAAGCTTTGCAAAATCTGGGTCAATGCCAACACAGTTCGCGTCAAACAGCAAAAGTATGATGTAGTGGTAAGCATGGTAAGTGCTGCCTATGTAGTTAGAATTAGTTTTGATTCGCTTGTTAGGTTGTTCAGTTGGGTGGGGGCAGGGGGGAGTTTGGTTATGTTAAATTCAATTAATGTTACAGGATTTTAATTAATTAGTACTATCCGGTAATATTTACGTACATTGAGGTAGTGTGACGTTACATGTGTGATATGTTTGTAATGTAAAAGCTTTCTGTGTATGCTGTGATGATTTGATATAAATTTGTTCACTAAGCAGAATACGAGTGTACCTGACAAATATAGTTCATCGTACAGCTTTGTGAATATATAAATTTGAATCATATAGACTCTTATTAGAGGTGCAGCTGCAGTTCTGCAGTTGGGTTGTGGTTGAACGTGTCTGTGCTTCAGCTCTGAGGTGCTCGTAAACGTAAATGTAAGCCCGTCACTGTGACCGAAAGAATTAACAAACTCACAGTTAGTATGCTGTGGAATGAAACAGATATGTCATGTGATGACAAAGTTATGCATGCTGATTTTATGTGCAAAATAATGATTACTCTTAATATTCGTGTTAGAAATTGAGAATTTGAAGTATGCCATTATGGGATCATATTGGAGAGAGAGGGAAGCTCTCCTTAGAAATGTTATGCAGGTTTATGTCATTCGTTATTTGCTAGAAGAAAAGATTAATATTCTTACAGGTACTTACAAAACAGCACTTCACAGTATAGATTAGTTTGTATTTGGCGTTGTAGGAGAGTCTAAAAATAGATACAAATTTTATGTTAAAGACTTTTCTGTATTGGTAAATATGAGCTTGGTCATAGTGAACTGTAAGTAATGAAGCTTCACTGTTTCAATTACTTCCTTTGCAAATAATTTTGCAGAATAAAAGTTTGTGTTGACTCCATCAATTCTCTGTGCCTTGCATAGTCTTTTGAGTGGTTTGTAGCCATGTTTTATTAATTGTTGAGCAGAATGTTAGCACTGTTTTTATAATGATGGAACCGATACATAACTCAAGTTCTGGGGAAGATCAGCATTTTCATTTTATGAGCTGATTGTCCTTGACGTTTGTTATTGTGCTGGAATATTCTTGCTCCATTTTGATTCCGGTTCTTCCAGAACCAATATTTGGTCCCCGCTAATAATCTAATGTAGATAATAGCATTTTATTAAAGCTGTACTGATATCAGAGTTTGTGAAACAGTGAAAACTACAAATGTGGATATGGATATCATGGTGTTTTGCCTGTAGTAGCTGAAATGTAGAGGACAGAATTATACAATTATTGACTGAGAATTTTGTTTGGACAGGAGTTTCAAAATGGAAAATAAGCATAAGTTCTTTCATGAAATTTTTGATATATAAGTAGTGCAGTATTGCATGGCTTGCATTTGTAAGGGAATGGAAATTAATTTCCCATTTTTAAGGAGCTGAAGTCTTTACTTTTATATTGTCACGTGTTGGGTATGTTCTGCGACAAATAACATCACGTGGGTCTCGGACTTAGAAAATCTTTATTGGACACTCACTCTTATACACCGTACAATTATTACACTTGCTGTGTCACTTGACTTCTGGCCCAATACTATGATGCGGCGTCTCAACTATCCTTGGCCGTGGTTGGATCTCAACTGTCTCTGGTGGCGGCTATCCCAAGATTGTCTCATTCTCGTCTGGGTCGTCTCTGGCTCTGCTTATATAGGGGTTATGCGGACTGGATACCAGACCAAATTTCTCAAAGTTCCGTTTCTACTATTTTGACAGTCCGCTGTTACCCAATGAGTCTTTGGTTGTTCATCTCCAGGGAGATTCCTTCGTCGTTTTGGTGTTGCCTACGCAACGGCTCACTGTTATTGCGTTACCATGGAAGTACCTACACCAAACATATTACAACATTTTCACAGTGTTCTAATATGGAGATATCTTTGAGCAAAATTTATTTAGTGTATTGTTATTATGAGTACCTTTTCTTTAGGCCAGTATGTATACCAGCAAATACTTGATCTGTATTGACAAGCTTGTCAAAAGTCTCACACATTTACCATTGCACTGTATTTTTCAGTCTTGATGCAAAAACTGAACTTGAGAGTACCAGAAAACATGTTTGTGTGTGTGTGTGTGTGTGGGGGGGGGCAGTGCCAAGTATTATCATGCAGGAATGTGCCACATAGAAGTTTTACATTTTGTTGAAATTAAAAGTGGATCAAGTTTGAAATCGTACATACAGATTCGCATTCAAATCAGAACCTGTTTTTAATGCTATTCATGTAATTGTTTCAGGCCTGCGACTCACCAGCACGAGACCTCAAGTGACTCGTCTGCCATAAGAGGAAGAAGTTGTTGCTGTACAGTCATAACGAGCAAGTTACAGCATTTCTCTGACGTCCATTCTGCTGTTCTATCATCCATGCATGACAGGAAGGTACTATTACAGTATTACAGGAAGAAATGTCAGTTTGATGTGTGTGACCATGTCAGACTGCTACTTATTTGTCCAACAAACTGCCTCTCTTTTGCTTTACTGTGTTTGCATGCAGGAGGGTAACACATATGCATGATATCATCCAACTTTGTGTCTTGCTTTGATTCTGTCAATGTTCAACATTGGTTACTATTCACTTGCTTTTCTTTATTGCCCTACCAGCCATCTTCAGGTGTACAGGTTGTGATTGCAGAATCTCCTGCTCGCTGTAATGCTGTTTTGGGTTTGTTATGTGGAGATAGATGAAGAACTGTGTGCTTGCTTTATAGAATGGCAGAAGGCATTTGACCGTGTAAATTGGACCATTTTAATGCAGATCCTAAAGGAAACAGGTATCGATGGGCGTGAAAGAAGATTGATTAGTAAATTGTACATGGATCAGAAAGTTAAGAGTGTGACTGGACAGAGGGGAGACAAGAAGTGTGAAAATTGGAAGAGGAGTTCGACAGGGATGCTGTTTATCACCAATTTGGTTCAACTTTTACAGCGAATGCCTTACCAAAGAAGCTCTGGATGGGCTTGGAGACTTCAAATTAGGAGGGCAAATTATTCAAACTGTGAAATATGCAAATGACCTTGTGTTAATGGCTAAGGAAGAAACTGTGCCACAGGGTATGGTTGATAGACTAATTGAAATTGGAAAGTGCTATGGCATGGAAATGAATGTGGAAAAAGCAAAAGTAATGAAAATTTCGAGACAGCCAACCCAAGTCACAATAGAGATAGACCAAAAACAACTGGAGAATGTGAAGTGTTTCAAATATTTGGGTAGCTTGTTAACAGATGATGGAAGGCGTACGTGTGAAATTAAATCTAGGATTGCCATGGCAAAAGCTGCATTTAGCAAGAAGAAGAATCTTTTTACAAGCAAATTTGACTTAATTTTGAGAAAGAAACTAGTGAAATGCTACATTTGGAGCATTGCTTTGTATGGGGCTGAAACTTGGACACTTAGGGCAGTAGATCAGAAACACCTGGAAAGCTTCGAAATGTGGTGTTGGAGAAGGATGGAGATCAGTTGGACCGATTATGTGAGAAATGAAGAAGTGTTATTTAGAGTCAGTGAGCACAGGAATATCCTACACGAAATAAGAAAACGGAAGGCTAATTGGATTGGTCATATCTTACGCCGCAACTGCCTTCTAAAAGAAGTTATTGAAGGAAAGATAGAGGGGAGATAGAAATGACCAGAAGACGAGGAAGAAGACGTAAGAAGATGCTGGATGACCTTGGGGACAGAAGAGGATACTGTCATTTGAAGAAAAGAGCCCTAGATCGCATCAAGTGGAGGAACTGTTTTGGAAGAGACTGTGGACCAGTCGTCTTGACAGATTACAGATGAATGAATGAATGTGGAGGCCTCGAATTGCATCTGGTTGTGTGGGTTAGTCATCTGTTTTTTTATTTAGGTGTCCTTGAGCTGATGGTGTATGCTTCATGGTTCTGTTTGGCTGCAGATATCTTGAATGTTCTTGCTGGGGCGGGAATTTGTTGTGTTGATGTCCGACCACAGCACAACAAATATGCTCATCTCAAGGACACCTAAACAA